GAGAGAAGGCGCGGCCGAGCCCCGCCGAGATGCCGCGGAATTGTCGATCGGACAATGCGCCTCCGCGCATTGTTTGCTACGTGTAAACGTTCGCCTCCGACGGAATAATTAATCACTCTCGCGTAATCTAAGATCGGAGCCGCTTTGTAAACACGATACCTGCCCTTCCTAACGCCGCTGCGCCGTGCCGTAAGCTAATCGCGCGATCATCCGCCGCGATTAGATCCACCGCGCGATATTAACCGCGCGCGACGTCAAATCGCACGACGATTGCTGAAGCAATCCCGACACACCCGAGCGGGGGAGGAGGGGCGCATTGCGGGAAAATTCATCGTCGGACATTGTTTAACGAACACCCGTGGTCTATTGCCGCGACGGGGGACGATCGCGGCCTCCTCCGCGACTCGGAGGAATTTCATTGTCCCGCGGAAGAACTCGCGTACTTATCCTTCATTTCTTGCTAAAAGTGGCGCTTTAATAAGGCTTTAATAAGACTTTTGCCGTTGCAGCGGGCATTTTTTCACGCGACATCATCTGTGGCGAGGCACAGCATCCGAAGACGCGTCGGTGCGTCTGTCCTTCCGAGTTTCCAGCATCGTTGTCTCTTTGATATTCACGTAATCGTTTTCTCATCACCGGCCACTTCGAGCGCCTCGTCGTTGATGCTGACATATTCGTACGTCGCGAGCCACAGCGGCATTCCAGCGATCGGCACTGCTTTTACCTTGTGCCGTTGAACCTCCTCTCTCTCTCTCTCTCTCTCTCTCTCTCTCGCTCTCTCGGCGCGATATTCAGATCGTGGATTAATCTAGCGCAGATTGTGTCGTCAAAAGGCCGACAGCCGGCACCGACTTGTCGGGTTTCGCTCTCGCAAAAAGGCGCCTCGGGACTCGAAATTGCTTTCGTCTCGCGAAAGTCCCTCTCGCACAGAGCCGCTAATCCGCGCCGGGTTCTAAACGGTTGCCAATCATTTCCGGTTCTCGGATTAGTCGCGCGTCGAAAAGCCAGTGAGCTCGCTCGTAAGGGCGTGAAACGGACGGGCGGCCTGCGGCGGCAGGACCTTCCGGACCGACACATAGGTGACAACAATGCGATCCTGGGGACGAATGTTGGCTTCGTAAGCGGATTACAAACGGCTCGCACACGCGCCCAAGAAATGATATTCCGCGCGGAGAAAGATCGGTTTTTTCACGGCTCTCTCAGCCGGCGTGGCGAGAGCGGAGTGCATTGATCCGACGTTAAGATCGCGCATTTAAAAGAAACGTGGCAGCGCTCGAAGGTAGAGAGAAGTCGCACGGATATCTCTTACGTTCCTGACGCGTATAATTAGACGCAGACCAATGCAACACACGTTTGTATATCGATCTAGCGTCTCACTCTTAACGCGCACCAATCGTACCAATCACGTGTAGACTCATCTGGACCGATCATCTTCACATCGGCCGTTACATTCGCTCGTCGGCCGCTTCCAGGCCTCTGAATTTCTCCGTCGGAAAAGGAATGGAAGTCTCTCAGCGTTTCATATTCTCGCAGTCACCCCCATTTATCTCTCTCTCTCTCTCTCTCTCTCTCTAATCGTCGATGAAACGTCGCTCGCGCACGACCGGATCGCGGCGCGGGTCTCCTCCGACCGTCGCGCTGACAAAGTCTGCATCCGCAGCTGACCGCGCGATAACGCCTCGCGTCGACAAATCGATTATGCATTAATCCGGGAGTCAATTAAAAAAGACGGTCGGGTGAAAACATGCGATGTCGGCCGGTAGCGAAAAGGCAGTTTCACCGTGACGCCGTAAGATATCGCGCGACGATAAATCCAGATTAAATTACACGCGCGGGATGTCCTTGCCTTGGCAAGGCAGTCTGTGCTGCGCGGCGCGCGCGCGCGCGCGCGATTAAAACGCCGTCCCTATACCTTAAATTGCCCTTCGTTAATAATTCCCGCGCTCATCAGCGTGACGCGCGTAGCGCGTGTAATTGTCGCATAAGGATACTCGCTCGGGACGTTAATTAGGGGCTCGCGATTCTAGCGAGAAGTAAACAGCTAACGAGCGATCGGCTGCGGCTGCGACGGCTGCGACGGCGGCGGCGGCGCATGATCGATGCGTGAATCCGCCGGCAATTACGTCTGGCTGTTAGTCCGACGTTAATAATTTTCTAATCAACGCCGCGTGAAAGATCGATCGTATTTGTACCGTGACGAGCCGCGGCGTCGGCCCCGGTGCTGCGATGGCGGAATGTAATAATCGAGACGGGAAATTGGAATGGACCGACGGACGGACGGGATGGACAAACGCGCGCGCGCGTACACGCGGGGCTTTAACGGCGCCGCCCGTAAAAAATCGCCTGGGCCAATCTACGTGAAAGCGTGCGGCACGGCAATTACATCGGCGTTACTCCTCCTAATTGTCCTTCATTAATAATTCGCGCGACGTGACGCGCGGAATGGCGTACCACGGAAGGTGGATACCATTTACGCATTGGCGATTACGGTCGCGCGCGCGATGATGACCGACCGTGTCTCTCTCTGTCTCTCTCTCTCTCTCTCTCTCGCTTCCCCCCCTCCCCCTCTGCCTCTCTCTCTCTGTCTCTCTCGTCTCCCCACGATAACACCAGCGATGAATGCCGTCGTTATTAGCTTAAAGAAACGCCTGGTGTTTTAACAGCGCTCTCGCCGTGTCGCGTTGTTGTTGTTGTCGTCGCGGAAGCGCCGCGAGCTTTTTACAGAGTCTTTGCGATGGTTCGATACGAGGAGCCTAGGGCTTCGCTCGTGTAAGAAGCTGCCTCTCGACTGCAATGGCTAATAAGTATAGGTAATTTCAGAGGAATGGGCTTCGGTGTGTGCCCGGACGCGCGTGCGCGCATACACGCGAGCGAGCGAGCGAGCGAGCGAGCGTTTGTGGCAGAGAGAAAGAGAGAGGGAGAGAGAGAGGATTCGTTGTTTTACCGCGACGTTAAACTAGATCCACTCCGAGAATGTAGGTCCGATAAAAAGCAAGAGAAACGATAGCTCACGCGTCCGCGCGCGCACTCGCTCGCTCGTGATCGTGTCGCATGATTCCGTTGGCCCCGGCACGATCGGCCCATATCCTTTATCGCGCGGGGGCCACTTTTCCCTATTCCCCGTGTCATCGGCAAGCGCGGCAAGGACGACGTTTATCGATCACCATGACGTGACTCTCAAGATTTCCAAACGCCATGCCGCGCCGCGCCGGAGCCTGGTCATTGGTCTTGTCCGTGAAACACTTAAGGGGAGTTATAAATAGCGGGCGCGGTGCAAGGTGCGAGCCGTCGCGGCGAGTCAATGTCGTGGAAAAATTGGCGCCTTAACAGCCCGCCGCTGTTTTCACAAGGAGCGCGCCGGATTTAGTGGCGCGGAAGCAGTATTAGTGTTGCCCGTGTTGGCGGCCGCTCCTTCCCCCCCTCCCCATCCCCCCCGTCCGTCGTCGCTTCTAATCGCGTCGCCGTCGTCCGCGTAATTGCCGGTAATGCGCTTCTTTGAGAAAGTAAGCCGATTACGGAATAAACAGCGGCGGTGTTGTAGCGGCGGCGGCGGCTTCGCGCGTATAGCAGCGTCGCGCTTCGAAAAAGAGAGAAGAACGAGGAGGAGGAACGCGAGCGAGCGAGCGAGCGAGCGAGCGAGCGAGCGAGGGAAAAGGAGGACGACGGGCGACCGGTCCGGAGCAGAAGGAGCTGTAAATTAACGGAAATTGTACCGATACACTCGGCACAGGTCGCCTTAATGGCACACCTTCGGTTTAGTTCCGAGAGAGAGCGAGAGAGAGAGAGAATGAGAGAGGGGGGGGGAGAGGGAAACTGCGGCCGCGCGCAGTTTCTATGATCACCGTGTGATTTGTAACGACGCAACGTCTATTAGCGGAGATTGACGTGCGCGCGCGCGCGCGCGGAGGCAACACTTTTCGTACAAAACGTGTGTTTTCACGCAATGTCTTTGCCGCCCGAGGGAAGGCTTCGTCGTTGTACTTTCTATTTTTATGCTTGCACAAATGCCGCTCCACCCGCGCGTCAGAAATTGCAAGTTCGCGCACGGCCACGCTTTGCCGGCCTTAGGATCTCCCTCCGTCGTGACTAGCCGCGGAATCGCTGGTTCCGATATACCCGTTTCCATTTCGCGCAATACACACCGCGCGTCTTACGCCTCTCGACGCGCGTTACGAAACTCGACGTCGCGCGCGCGATCGGACGAGTTACGACAGCTTGCCGCTCGCCCGGCCCCGCAGGGTTAAACGCCGGGGGGATAGCGGCGCACAGGTAGAGAAGATGAATGAAACAAATGAGGGTAACATAATTAAAGCTCTCGAGTGCCGAGCTCCAATTTAAGACCATTAGAATCCCTAAACGTTATCGGTCCAACGGACTCTCGACAACTTGGAGGAGGAGGAGAAGGAGCAGGAGGAGGAGGAGAGAAAGGGCGGAGAGGGAACGAGAGAGCGAGAGCGAGGGAGCGAGAGAGAGAGAGAGAGCGAGAGAGAGGCCTTTATCTGTGCAAAGATATATCTGCTTCCCGAAGGAGGAGGCGTTCTGTACGCGCAAGCAGCGACGGTCGACGTGATTGGAACATCCGGTCGGGAGGAACGGAAAGAGAGAGAGAGAGAGAGAGAGAGAGAGAGAGAGAGAAAGACGATCGTGTCCCGTAGATGTCCTTGACACCTTCGTGAAAGTGAGCAGCGCGCGAAACACGTAAAACGGACGAAATTGCGATGCGCGCTCGCGTGCCTCCTGAAAGCTCAGTCGCGATAACGGTTAAGTGTATCCGTCGATCGAGCAAGAGTGCTCCTCCAGAGTAGCTCGCGCTCGCACGTGACGCAACGCGCAAGACATAAATTATAATAATCTGGGAGGAGGAGCAGGTGGAGTGAGAGAGCAAGTGGCCAGCCTTGCGAAAGACTCGGATAAAATCGGATCGTTAGAGTCCTCACTCGTCGTCGTGACTCGCCGCGACAACGAGTAGTTTCGAAAGCGTGCAATAAAGTATCATTTACCATTGGAAGTAACGGAAGCGCCGTCGTGGTGACTGGCGTCGCTGTCCTCGTCCAGATTGCTATTGCTCAAGGACGTTCTGGACTGATGCCTGACACTGAGGTCTCGCGGCGTCGAGGGTGGACTTCCGGGTGGCTCTTGGCTAGGCAGTCCGGTCTGGTGCATCTTGCTGGACGCGCCGCCCAGGATGTCGGTGATCATAAACCTCGATCTCTGCGGCATCGTCGTCGAGGCGTCGCCCCTCTCCAGGCCGTTGTTATTATTCAGATTGTTGTTCCGCGAGTCCAGACCGTTGGACAGACGCTCGACGGCGACGCCGTTCCGGTCGACGATGTTCTCCAGCCGGTGAGCCTCCAGGCCGGACATCCTGCTGAGATTCAGTCCGTTATTGGCCACGGCGACGCCACTGAGAGCGGCCACGTGGTGGTTCTGCTGATGATGGACCGTCATCACGGTAGACGCAGGTGGTTCCTTCGGGCTACGGGCACCTGCAGGTGCCTCTGTCGCCACCCCAGGACTCGCCCGGTACCTGGGAGACAGAATCTTGCCGACGGTGACGACGTAGCCTGCGCCAGGAATTCGTGCCCTCTCTCTCTCTCTCTGTCACTGTGTGTCAATTTCACTTCACTGTATTCCCGCTAGTCCGCCCGCCGCTCCCTTCGACTCACTTCTCCCCTCGTGCGTGCCCGACGAGCGCCTCATCCGGCATTTCGGCAAGCGTTGATCCCGGAGATGGAGTCTGTGCTGGCTTTTTCCGACGCGCGATGCTGCGAACGTCGAAGGGAAGCGTTTCGTTCGCGCGCGCGCGCGCGCGCGCGCCGTGCCGAGGACACGAACGCACTCGTCGCCAGGGTCTCAGTAAATCAGAAGATACTCGGAGATTCGCTCCATGTACGACATGTCGCTCCAGTATCAGGACCGTCCGCGACCGTCCGCCAAGGTCCAAGCACGCGAGCAATTCGGCCGAGCGATCGCTCCCGGCGCAAATCTGGAGTAAATGGCGCGTGAGACAGATATTCACGGGATGCGTATGCACCTTGCACTTCCTCCCGTTCACTCGGTCGCTCCACCCCCGCCACCACCTTCTTCCCAGGCGCAATTAAGGGGCCGCTCGGCTCGGCTCCCTGGTTAATTGCTAATTGGCCACTTAACATAATTGCCGCGCATAAGAGCGAAGCCGCCGGCCATTTCCGCTTTCCTTTTTCTCCTTTTCCTCGCTCGCTCAATTATTAATTATTTTTTATATAAGACCCCGCGGCGCTCGCGCTCGCGCTCGTGCTCCTCTCACTTTTGCGGCGATTACGCGCCGCTGGGACGACGATGCGCCTCGCCCGCTGATGGAAACAAGTTCGAGACCCCCTACCGCGCTCTCGCCAACCGGTTGTTCCAGCCGGAAACAACTGTGATGTGACGGCAGTTCTGAGGAAGAATTCCCAGATGTCAGCGCGGCCTCCTGTCCTGTCCGCCTTCTATCCTGTCGAGAGTCGCGCGACTGTTGTGCCTGCCGGATCAATGGGTTATGGGCTGATCGCACCTATCAGAGTCCGATCGGCTCAGCACCGTCGTCGTCGTCGTCGTCTCTCACTCGTCACTGGCCTGTCTAGCTCGCGTCCCTCTCGAGAGTCTATGTTTAGCCGGCTTATCGCGACCTCGCCTGTCACGCGTGCCAGAATTGATCACTACTCTCGCGTTGAGGCGTTCATCAGCGCTTAAGGGTCTCGGAACCGATCCGGGTCTCGGTCGCGCGGTACCGTTACGGTCTATCGCGACACTGCTCTCCTCCAAATGTCGCACTGTCACCGAGTCGTTCACGTGCTTACGTCAGCTCATCCGGACACTCGACAGGTTCGGACGATATCTGGACGAATGTCTGTTGGCTCGTGCTCGATTGACCGCTCGTCACATAGGCGAACCACATTGGAGGACTCCTCGAACGGAGATGGTAATCGGTCCAATCGGCTGGACTGGCACCTTCAACTCGCGAATAGGACGATCGCGTTTGTGCAGTCCCCCGGAGGATTAGAGATCGATCTTTCGCGAAAGTAACCGTGACGTCCGCCGGAAGTAGAAGCACTCCGAATGACGTGACAGGGACGTTGCGGACGTGTTCGTGGCACGAGGCGTGCGTGTGCATCGAGTTGCCTCGACTGGTCTGTCCGTACTGAAGACACCAGGCGCCTCCACTCGCTCCTGGGCGGCCATATCGGCTTTGAGGAACGCCCCGCGCTAACCCCACTTCCAATTGGCCCCGGCCAATCCAACACGTTGGTGTTAAGTATCCCGCCAATCCCAACCGAAGCAACCTCGGCGCCTCCGCTATGTGGCACGGCTACGCCCAAGTAATTTGAAATGTGTTTCAGCGGTAATTCGATATAAAATTGTAGTTAATATCTTTCATTATAGTCCGGGTGGAGGGGCGGGGGGGACACGGGGGGAACACGGGCTCGAAGACGACGGTAGTGGGAGTGGGGCACGGGTGCACGGACACGGTGAGAGGAGGGAGGGGGGGCAACAGGGGGGGTTAAGCGAGGTGGGGCAGGCTGTGATACTGGTCTCCCACTTCCAGCTCGCTCTCCTCGAGATGGAACGACGAAGCGAATCGTCGAGAGAGAGGGAGAGAGAGAGAGAGAGAGAGAGGGAGAGAGAGGAAGAGAAAAAGAGAGAGAGAGAGAGAGAGAGAGAGAGAGAGAGAGAGAGAGAGAGAGAGAGAGTGAGAGAGAGTGAGTGAGAGAGAGGGGCGGGAGAGGGTCCGGCGAGACCACCTGGAAGGGGAGAAGTGCTATCGAGACGGAGGGAGGGTGGCAGCAGCGCTCCGCGAAGTTACTCCGCGAATTTACGAATTCACGAGGACGAGTGAGCCGGCACGGGAGTCCGGGCGAGCGAGCGAGCGAGCGAGCGCGACGTTTTTTGCCACGTGAACTTTTTGCGTCACCCTGTCGTCGAGGCTGAAGAAAAGGCTCGTTAAGCATATCAAAGGAGCGCGTTGATTAACTCGGGACGTGTTGGTCCGATGTCGTCGTAGAGTGACGTTGAACGTTAAATCGTGCGACGATGGGCTCTCGGGTTAGGGTGCTCGCGATGCTGGCAACATGTTTAGACGCTGACAACGACAGTGGCTGGCGATCGATAAAAATGACAATCACTCTATGGCGAAATCGAGGGAGAGAGAGAGAGAGAGAGAGAGAGAGAGAGAGATCGATGCGCTCTCCGATGTCCGTTGCACTTTGTTCACTCGTGACGACACACCAGCCTGTCCCGAAATAACGAATAATTATTTCGACTCGGGCGAAACCGCATTGAAATGGGATTAGCTACGGTGGGATAGGTAGGAATGTGCTGAAAGTATGTAGAAATTGGGGATGGTGACATCATTTAATTAGCGAGGGCCGCGCTTACGCGTGCAATCGGTACCCATATGCGACTCCATATGTTGCACCACTGTGGGTGCACCACGAGAGAGGGAATATAATTCTTCTGAAATAATAGATTACTTCGAGCTTTGCTAATGCATACCTTACAATCATGCAAGTGCTAGGGTATAGCTTGTCTGATTATACAGCACACAGAACGCAAAGTGGCATCTGAACATTAACCGCGTCGCGGAGAGACTCCCTCCCCCCCCCTCCCCCCGTGGAACACAGCCCGTGCGCTCGTGTGCGCGCATTGTTTTCCGAGTTATCAGTTATCGGTGTGTTCGATGTGCGAAATTGCATGCGCGGCGCGCTCGCGGGCAATCGCGCCCCTGCGGCGAATTCTTCTTGCCGATCCGCGCGCAAAGTAGCTCTCGCGTTCCTTCGCGAGGGAAGAAGAAGAAGAAGGGAGTGACAAAAAAAAGGAAACATCGACGGAGCCTGTAATGCGATCGTCAAAGCGTGACTCGACACGAAAGTGTCGGTGACTCGTAAGAAAATGCTCGGCTAATTCTTGCACCTTTTATTTTACACGCACCTTTACACGCGTCACCCCTTTCGCGGATGTGCCGGACAGGCCACATGTGTGCACGTGTGCTGCACAGGCGCGCCTGGAAGGTGATACGTTGTACTATACGTACGCGTCTCATTAATTAAACATGAGAATTAGCCACGAGTGTCGCACCCACGAGGCAACGAAATGAAAAGTTAGCATCGTTAAAGAGCGCACTTATCGCCCGGTAATTAGTTTCGCGAAATCCCCATGGAAAAGCACTAATGCAGCTCGAACGGTGTAGAAAAACCCGACGCTAATTACCAGGAAACGCCATTTACATTCGCTCGCGCGCGCGCGCGCGCGCATTTGTACCCTGCGACGCCTAAATATCCTCGACTTGAGCGCGCGCGTACGCGGCATAAAGTGAGGCCGGTCGATTAACGATAACGTTATCTCGCGACGATCACGATTAACAGAAGCAACGTAAATATCTACGTGTCGGGTGCACGCGATCCTGAATTATGCATATCGTCGGAACGCAGACTCACTTGGTACACAGCGAGCAATTCTTGAAGTAATAATGGAGCCCGAGACATTAACATATTCTACCGGAAGACGTAGAGCTTACCGTGACTAAGCATTTCCGAGTCTTTCGTTGGTTTAATATCAACGCGCTGCATCAACGCGCGGCCCTTCGCTTCGTGAATACTTGCAATGCAACGTGCTTGAGGTTTTTATTTAAAAAATAAAACAATCGCGAGCGAGCGAGCGAGCGCAGCACACGACATTTTGAGCGCGCGCGCGCAGCCGGAGGAGCGAGAAGGTTAACGTCGTTAAAACGCATCGCTCTCGGCCATTAGTATAGGTGTCGGAAATCTCCTCGGGAAATTTCCTCGAGGCTCTTTGAACTTTTGAACGCGCGCGAGACGTTGCCCGAAGATATTAATATGGATGTATCGCCCTCTAATACCCAGGACAAGTATATCCACGTGTACGTCATTAAATTTACATGAGGACACGACTTGAGCCTCGCGATCCGGTCAGGAAGACGAAGTGAAAAGTTAAGAGCGTTAAAACTGCTCCTATCAACGTGCCAATTAAGCCTCATAAATCCCAGACGCTCCGGCTAGACCGTAACGACATTTTTCAGTCACTTTGAAACAATGTATAAAGTTAAACCCGACATATTCAGAGAGAATTTGCCGTGATCCAAGCGGTCGTCTTACCCGCACTTTTCCGCACAAAGCTTAGTGAATTTCACGGAATTTTAAGGCCGCACCTCCATAAAGAATAACGTTACTTGTCGCTCCCGTAATTATTTTATCGTATCATATCGCGCTCTCTCTCTCTCTCTCTCTCTCTCTCTCTCTCTCTCTCTCTCTCTCTCGGGGATTGTACTTTGCAACGAGCGTTTCTCAGATATTGATCAGAGCGGCTTTAACAACGTAATCGGGATCGCGTACAAACGTGTACATGAGGATCGATTTTTTATTAAGATATACAAAGAGACGACGTCGAAGCCGTCGAGAACGTTTTACCGTGTTCCGTCGAAATGAATTAATAAACGGTCCGCGAGTCAACAGATGTTGCATGAAACGTACGCGCAAGGCGAATAAATTTGTTTATCGACGATCTATCGACCGGGGTCGGTCTTACGCTCGCTCGGATGATTTAGAGAGTCGCTAATGCAACGAGACGGCGCAACATCGATGCTCAACTCTCGTTGAAATCCACTTTTAGCAGCTGCCGCTGGGAGCGGACACCCGCCGAACGGCCGGGGCTTTCGCGGCGAGGCACGATAAAAGTCCTGAAATTAACGATCCTTTAAAACGCTCGTAAAATTCGCCCAGATAAAGATCCACCTTCTACTTGCTCCGACGTCGCGCACGGTATCGTGCGCGACTCACAAATTACTCCCACACGCACCCGCAAAAAGCAACGCAGCCTGCTCTCGTTCGCTCAACCGACGACCAACGTCGGAACGAGAGACGCGCGCTACTTTTCGTATTATGTCGTATGTTTTATTCATCGAATATGGTACCGTTGAATCATTAAAAAAAAGGAGAAATAATTGAAGCAGCGACGGTGCGCAGATACGGATCTATGTGAGAAACTGTGAATTTCAGAGGAGGACGCGGAGGGATAGTACTTTGCGAGTAAATTGCCGACGATTAGGCGATAAGAGTCGCTTATTGAGCAACTCCTTTTCGCTCCGCGTTTGAGAAAAGAAATATCCAATATTCGACGGGATTATTCAACATTCGCGAGTCGTGTTTACTATGATACGTGGGAGGGGGGGATGTCGGAGCGGCGGGTACAAAGCGGATCGCTGGCTGTGGACGAGACTGGTTTCC